ACCGGTGAAACCGGAGGGGACTATAGGTTTCCTCTGAGTCTGTCCGTCCGTCTGTCTGTCTGTCTGTCCGTTCCTCTGTCAATCTGTCCCAACTGGTTTTCCGCACCTTTTTTCTAAATGCTATATAGACATATAAACCTATATTTCTAGTTTATATTGATATTATATGGCTGTAGTTAGAATGTTCATAAAATTGTAAATTGACATGCTTAATTTACAGAAACAGTAGTTTTGTGATGTGTTTGTTTGTTTATTATTGTTTAACGTCCCTCTCGAGAATTTTTCACTCATATGGAGACGCCACCACTTGCCGGTGGAGAGCTGCAAATTTTGACCTATACTCGGCACTTACGGCCATTGAGCACTGAGGGATCTTTTTCGTGCCAGCACCTACTGCGACACGGGACCTCGGTTTATACGGTCTCATCCGAAAAACCGGTCTCCACGTCCCATAGTGGGATTCGAACCCGCGACGTAAGGATCAACTCCTTACTCCGCGACTCTAGAGCGAAAGCTCTAACCACTGCGCCACGCGGGCAACTTTTGTGATGTGATGTTGAATAACATTTTCATTTTAGGGAGGTTTACTTTGAATGACATTGATTACAGAGACACATCATATTGATTTTATGGCCTGATTTGTATTCATAATAAGATTTTTGTCATAATAATTGACTAACAGCTTATTTAAACTATAAACTATTGCAGTTCTCATTCTCTCATGTTCTACTGTATTGAGGTATTTTCAAAAAATTAGGATACATAGCATATATCCTTTAAGTTTTGGATAATGTCGTGTCTGTCATCAGAATTTGACTAATGTGATTATGAAAAAAAGTGTGGAAGAAATATTGCATTGGAGAAAATTTTAATCAAATTAGGTGTAATTTTACAGATTTCCATTTCCTTTTTTATTTAATTTTTTTAAGACCATTGAATATATATAAACCTAATAAAAATCATGATGAAGTTCATATTCTGAAAGCTGTTATTTCATTTCTCTCTCTCTCAATAGTTAATTAAATTATAACTATATTTTGATCGGGTTAGATATTCTGGGAATCCTGATTCAAAGGAAGCATGATGTTAGATGTTAATACTGTAAACAAATTCAAGTCTTTTTAATGTCTGAAGTATGAAATATTCTGCAATTTTTGAAATTTACTCTGGTCATGAGAAAAACTGACTGAAGTTAAAAATATTATAGCTTCGCGCCGCTCGTCACTGCGAGCTATTAAATCAACGCCTGGGCGAAGAGAAAGTTCGGACTTTTCACATTTTCTTCTGCAGTAACCCGTGGTCCCATAATGCTCTGCGAATTGCATCTCGCCCTAAACTACGTTGTCGCGGAAGCAACAAAAGCTTGTTTAAGCTACGTTCTCGCGAGAATAACAATAAAAGTTCAACAAAAAATAAACCCGCCTTGATTTAATGAATATGTAGCAGATAAATAGTAAATAAAAACTTTCTTCATTAAAATCAGCACTGTTCAGGCTTCTGTTTGGTAATGCAACTTATATACGACGTCATGTGACGTCAGAGTATCTGGATGCACCAAATGTCATGTGCGGTTTGAAGAGACGGGTCTCAATTACTACACTGAAAAGTTCATAGATCTGCGCTCGCCCTAACGGTCGCACCGTCAACATATTATTTCAGATGTGCTAATGCAGTTTTATCCTTAATTTCGGGCTTAAAATTGGCAGTGCAGACATCTAGGGGAAAGATGGCGGTAGGGTGCAGATATCTAGGGGAAAGATGGCGGTAGGTTTTTTCTCCCTTTTAATAGCTAATGCTTTACTACATTCTACTATAAGTTAAGGTTACTTGCTACTAATAAAATAGCAATTATAGGGAGACTTACAAGACTTTCAAAAATAAAGTTCATACATAATTATATATTAGTAATTTCTCCAATATTCAAAGAGACCAAAACGTGAGGATCTATATGATCTATATGAAAATATATTTGATAGTTTTTAATTACATGAACAAGGCTGTAAAAGAGAGGTTTCGCAAACCACTGTGTATGTATCAGGAGAAATATATGCATTATGTCATCACTTTTGCTAATTATAAAATTCCACATATCCATGTACGTGTAGATCGCTGAGTACATGTACCCGTAAGTGCAAACTTGTGTTTTTCTAAAAGCAAAAGATTGAGAGCAAGTACTTATATAAGGAACTTTGGTTTTATGGTGATTTTTTTTGTGTGTGTAATAAACTCACTTATACATGTTATATTGCCTTTCAAAATATTATTTGACAAATCAAGGTAATAAAAACTAATTTTAAGGTTTTGCCAAAGGTCAAGATGTCCAAAAATTTATTTTTACAATAGCTCCAAAACTATGTGAGGTATAAAGTTAAAACTTTTACAGTTTATAAATATATCATTGATTAACAGATAGAAAGTATCATTTGAAAACAAATATTTAAAAAAATATATTTTTTAAAGAAATTTTTTTTCAAAAAAAACTGCATATTTTAAAAAAATGCAACTGCTTAATTCTGTACTTTTAGTGAAAACCATCATTGCAGAAATAATATATGTATATCAATGAAGGGCAAGTTGGACGTGAATGGTCTCTAAAAGGCTGTTGTTGAAAGCATGACATGTATAAAGACAAGATCCTTATAAAATCCGCCATTTGCAATGTACTTTCGGTTTCAAATCTTAACATTTGGATAAAATAAACAGGGAAAACAACTTTCCAGAGGCTATCGAAGTCCAACTTGCCCTTCATTTATAAACATATATTGTTTCTGCAATGATGGCTTTCACTAAAAGTACGGAATTAATTAGGTGTATTTTTTGAAAATATATGCATTTTTTTAAAAGAATTTTTCTCGATAAATATTTTTTTTAAGTATTTGTTATCAAGTGATACTTTCTATCTGTTAATCAATGATATATTGATAAACTGTAAAAGTTTTAACATTATAAACCACATAGTTTTGGAGCTATTGTAAAAATAATTTTTTGGACATGTTGACCTTTGGCAAAACCTTAAATTAATTTTCATAAATATATTAAGCATATACTCGATTAAACTAGTGATGTACATTATAAATTAAGTAGATATACCTACAAAAAAAAAATGAAAATCCGAAGATAAAGACTTTTGCATTTAAAGCATTTACAAGTACATGTACAAGTTATAAATGCTAAACAAGAAAAGTGATGTAAACGTGTACATGTAATTCTAATTTGTACTGTACACGTACACGTCAGTCTGCGAAACCTCTCTAATTAGAATGAAACGAAGATTGTAAATTGTTTATCATGCAGGTTTGTCAAAAGTGGTTTTGTTATTTACATAGGATGCACACATCACAGTTTTATATTTACATCACTATGTAAAATTTACACTTAAGATTCAGTTTTCACTAATTTATATTACCTTTTCCTAGATGAAATCAAAGTTTTCAAAGTTCATTTTCAGTGATTATTGATTTTAAGTGATTAGTTGTATTTTAAAAAAGAAAACAAAGAACAACAAATATATTACCTAACTATGAGAACTACAACTACATGCCAATTCTATTTCCAATTCTTTATTGACTGTAAACCAGATGACTGGTACAAGAGGTACATATATACATAACTACAAACAGAAATAACAGTCAAGGGTCAAAAAATAGACAAGTTGTTTAAAGAAAAAAGAAAAGAATGAAGTAAACATAAACAGTTAAATATATATATATATATATATGGAGGATTCAAGAAGGACAGACTGTTATGAAAATGTTCTTAATAAATTTTGACGATAATTTTTGTAATTCTATATTATTTGTGTTCATGAAGTTCATTAAATTTGAAATTATGATTTTTACAATATCTTTTATGGAGAAATATTTTTCTGTCATTTGAAAAATACTTGCATTCCGTAACATAATGAAATTCATCATCAACAGTATTACAATCACAAACGGTACATATTCTTAACTTTCTTTCAATATTATTCCATATACCTTTTTCAACTGGCAAATGATGATTACATGTTCATAGTTTTGTAAGTGTAACTCTTAAATCTTTTGGTAAGTTAAACAAATAATTTTCAAAACCAAAGTTTGTTTTAAAAATGCTATAATTTATACACTTTTGGGAGCTATCAACAATGTTTCTCCATTCTTGTTTAATTGATGTTTTAGGGTTTCTTTATTAATTGACTTAAGCCATTTATAGCTATGAAATGTTTGACTTGTCCATATATGACAATCTGCAAGAATCAAGAATATCTTTTACACATTTTATCGATGGGTGTTCAAAAGACCCATCGAGATATAACACCTATAAAATATGAATAAATCACATTTGTAAGCCTACTTTCATGGGCTGTTAAAATTTTTGCCCAGTACATAACCATTTTTAGTTTTATAAATATTGACAGTGGATATCTACCTGTTTCATCATACACCATATACTTTGGGGTATTTGATGTAAGGTTTAGAATAAATTTTAGAAATTTTAAGTATACTTTTTATATTATTAGCTCACCTGAGCCGAAGGATCAAGTGAGCTTTTCTGATCGAAATTTGTCCGTTGTCTGTCGTCGTTGTCGTTGTAAACTTTTCACATTTTCATCTTCTTCTTAAGAACCAGTGGGCCAATTTCAATCAAACTTGCCACAGAGTATCCTTTGTTTCAGTTCAACATTTTATTGATTAACACAAAAGTGATGACGTAATACACAAGTACACAAAAGGGTCAGACTAATCAATGTACATCCTAACATCTCCATTCCTTTGAGAATGAATGACAATTACATTTAAAATTCATTTACAAGTTCAAATTTAGGCAATATCAATAAAAAAAAAATGTTTCTGCTGTGTAAACAAATCTTGAAACATAAAACATGAGTGTTTCTGCATCAAAGAAATGAAAACTGAAGTACATTAACATACTTTCTGACGTGACACTTATTGCATTTGAATAGAATAATTGCAGAACAATAAAATAATTGCAAAACAGAAATTATACTTTGAGTAAACTATTCACATAACATAGTCCTCAAGTTTCTTTGGAAGTTTGGGTACACGTGAACTTGTTCGAAGGCTTATTGGGTTTGCGGTAACAGTCTTTGGTTCACAAGGCTTTCGCGGAGTTGGAATTTTAGCAACTTTAAGGTCTTTTACTTTGGATTTTTCTGTAATGACTGGCGGTGCATCAAGTGCATCATCGTACTCTGGAATCGACTGCGAATTGGCATCATAAGGTTCGTTTGTTGCTCGAAGGTCTCTACGGTTTCGGCGATATTGTTTGTTGTTGATCCCTACAATGTAGGAGGGCTTTCCAACGTTTTCCATGCAAGTAACGTAACTCCATTTCTTTTCCGGGTCTGTATTTGGTTTCATCCTGTCCGGTTGGCCAATTTCAAGTTCTGGAAGTTCTTTAGCACTTTTGTCATAGTAAAACTTAGCCTTTTGTCTCTTGAACTTCACTTTATCTATTACATCTTCCACGAGTTTGGGCTGGAGTAATTCCTGTGACAACGGTAATGAATGCCGAGTTCTTCGTGACATAAGACGCTGTGATGGACTGCTGGCCATGTCAACAGTTGGGGTGTTCCTCCAATCAAGGATGCTCTTCCACAAATCATCTCCATTTTTCTTAGACTTGCGCACAATGTTCTTAGCAATTTTCACAGTTGCCTCTGCTTTCCCATTGGACTGACTATGATAGGGGGAAGAAGTAATATGCTGAAACTCCCAATCACATGAAAAATCATGAAAATCAGTTGATTTAAACTGCGGACCATTGTCTGTAACTACAACATCTGGCGTTCCGTGACGTGCAAAATGTTGTTTCAAACAGTTAATTACTGTGGCTGCTGTGGTATCTGGAAGAAGGTCAAGCTCAAAAAAAATCTGAGTAATAGTCAACTGTGACAAGGTAATCCTCAGCTTTTAGAGTAAAGATGTCAATTCCAAGTTTTGACCATGGCTGGTCTGGGACATCATGTGTCATTAGTGGTTCTTTCTGTTGTTTCCGTTTAAATGTGCTGCACGTGCTACGCTTGCTGACAAAATCCTTGATCTCCTAATTCATGAGAGGCCAATACAATGAGTCCCTAGCTTTGCGTAGACAAGCCTCAATTCCTAAATGGCTGGAATGAGTGCGGCGTAGCATTTCTGGTCGAAGAGCTTTGGGAATAACAACGCGGCTGCTGCGGTAAATAATACCATCTTGTATTGTGAGAGAGTCTCTGACATTCCAATATGGTCGTATTGGAATAGGAACATCTTCTTTAGTATCGGGCCATCCTGAAAGTATAACTGTCTTTAATGACTGGAGATTCTCATCCTTGTTTGTCAAATCTCGAATTTGATTCAGTCTCGAGTCTGTGACTTTTCTAACCCACTCTGCATGTTAAATATGTGCTATTTCCTCAGCGAGTGTGCAAGTGTGCTGTCCATAAAACTCTGGAGTTGCACGAGACAAGGTATCTGCGATGAACAACTCTTTTCTCTGGTATAAACAACAGCCAGGTTGTATTTCTGGAGGCGCAGAAACATTCGCTGGAGTCGTTTGGAGCTGACAAGAGAGGTTTCCTGAAGATCGTTTCAAGAGGCTTGTGGTCTGACTGTACTGTAATGCAATCCTTACCATATATGTAATGGTCAAATCTCTCACATGCAAAAACAATTGCAAGACACTCTTTTTCTATCTGTGCATAACACTGTTCCGTTTTAGAAAGTGCACGAGAGGCATAGGCAATGGGTTGTCCATTTTGCAGTAATGTGGCTCCAAGGCCAACTTCACTTGCATCGCACTGAATTGTGACCTCCTGATGGACATTATAGTATTTGAGTACAGGTTGATGACTTACGAGACGTTTGACACTCTGAAATGCTTCTTCCTGCTGCGATTGCCAAGACCAAATGGCTCCTTTGTCTGTAAGACGTCGCAAAGCTTCGCAGGTTTCCGATAGGTGAGGCAAGAATCGAGACAAGTATGTTGCTAGACCAATAAAACGTTGCACTGCTTTTACATTTTCAGGTCTTTTCATATTTGTAATGGCGCTAACTTTGTCTGGATCAGGACGGATGCCTTCTGCGGTAAGTATACTGCCCATATATTTAACTTCAGTTTGACGAAGTTTGAACTTGTCCTCGTTTAGCTTTAGTCCTGCCTCACGAGCTCTTTGTAGAACTGCCGTCAAGTTGCGGTCATGATCTCGAATTGCTGATTCCATGGTCTGTCCACAGCCGTAGACTATGATGTCATCCATCACACATTTTGCTCCTGTTAGTCCTTCTAACACTTCATGTTGTCTACGTTCTGGGATTCTTCGGGCGCTGATGAAATGCCGAAGGGTAAGCGCAACCATCTATATCGACCAAAAGGAGTCCAGAACGTAGTTAGAAAACTGCTAGATTCATCTAATTTGATGTGCCAGAATCCTTCTTTTGCATCGAGGACGAAGAATACTTTCGCATTCGCTAGATTTGGTAATATGTCCTCAAGGGTAGGCATGATGTAGTGCGATCGCTTGATAGCTTTGCTCAAGTCTCTGGGATCAATGCATATGCGTAGCTTACCAGGTTTTTTCACGGTTAGCGTACTACTTATCCAGTCTGTTGGGATAGTAACTTTCTTGATCATACCTCTGTTCTCAAGATCCTTCAACTTTGTGTAAATTTCCTGCTTCATGACTTGATGAATTTTTCTGGGTTGATGCTGAACTGGCTTGACAGACGGATCAATTTCAATCTTGTACTCGCCTGGGAAAGATCCTAGGCCCTCGAATACATCATGGTATGTGTTCAACAGCTGACTGCGCGTTAGTGGTTCAAAGCTATTCTTAGCTGATGTATCAACACTGTTCACAATATTCACAGATAGCAGTCCTTACCTTTCACATGCTTCAGCCGAGAGCAGTGCAGTTTGATCTGTATCTACCACATAAAAGTTCAGACATTCTGTATTGTTTTGTACTGAGCAGATAATGTCAACAGTACCTAAGGGCTCAAGCTTTGATGTTCCACCATAGAGTCGAAGAGCCTTGCTGCTTGCTTTCAATGGCGGACAACCATTTTGGGTAAGAATGCAGTATTGCCGAAATCCAAGAATGTTACATGTTGATCCAGAGTCCAGTTGACAGATTACATCTTGATGAGTTGCATCGTCAATCACCATGTTGACTTTTGTAAACCACTGTTTACCATGTGTTGTCTTCACTGTGTAACAAGATTCACAATCACTACTGTCATCTGTTTCATCAAGTTGAAGAACAGTTTTGTTAGCACTCTGACACACTGAAGAGAAATGATTTTTCTTTTTGCACTTGTTGCAGATTTGTCCATAAGCAGGACACTTGTTTCTTCCTCTTGCATGCTTTCCACCACAGTATTTACATTTAAAATCTCCTTTGTTTGAGTATTTTGGTGGTTTTGTTGAAGATCTTTTCTGCTGCTTTGTATCTTTCATGTGTTTCTTATTTCCTCTTGCTTCATAGTTGACTTGAGCTGTATTATTATTAGTGTCACTCTCTCCTTGCAGTTTATCAAGCTGGCAGGTAGTTCTCTCACTGGTCCTACACATGTCTATGGCACTGTTTAGGGTGAGCTTAGATTCTCTGAGCAATCGTCCACGAACACTTTGGTTCTTAGTTCCCAGTACTATCCTATCACGAATCATTTGGTCCATAATATCGCCAAACTCACATGTCTTTGCAAGTTCTCATAGTCGGCACAAGTAATCATCAAACGATTCATAGGGCATCTGGTCTGCCATATTAAAGATATACCGTTCGTAGATCACATTTGTTTTTGGCATGAAATGACCATCTAATGCTTCTTGAATTTTGTCAATATCCTCTCTGTCTTGACCACTGGGTGGCAAATTTTCATAAATTTGGAAACAATCTTTACCCATCACTGTCAGTATTGTGGCTATCCGAATAGGTTGTTCCTTCTTCACAAGGCCCGTGGCAGTTTCATAATTGGCCCACTGAGATTTAAAAAATTTCCAGTTGCCCCTGATGTCACCTTTCACTACCATTGGGGCAGGAACGGGTAAGTCTTTAGAGGCCATTATGCTATGATTATGAACAGTTCTGTAGCTTTGTATGGGAAAAATGTGTGTGTATCAAAGGTACGTCTCATATATTTATGCGAATATTGCATAAAAGTTTCATACTGTTATTGTAACACATGTCCATTCTACACCATAACAGAAGTATGCGTATTCTGGGGTAGGAAAAATGGCGGCGTGCCAAACACGTGTGATGCTGGGAAGTTAACTTCAACGAGTGAAAGTGAAGGAAAATACAAGGATTATCGGGGCTGTACTACTTTACCCGATATCTTGGCTATTCTTTCTCACACTTCGTAAGGAATGTGTTCCGGTACTGTCCAGTTTTCATGTGTCGTTGTGTATTCTTTTGCTGAGAGCTTCACTTCTGACACCATGATTAACACAAAAGTGATGACGTAATACACAAGTACACAAAAGGGTCAGACTAATCAATGTACATTCTAACATCCTTGGGTAAATGGTAATCACGTTTGTTCAAATGAAGGGCCACGCCATCTTCCAGGGGGAGATAATTATGAATTAGTGAAAAATTAATGGCATCATTTAAAAATCTGTGCTTGAAAGTATCAAACTTATGTGGAATCGAATCATTGTGAGGTGATGTAGGTTCAAATTTGTTCAAATCATGACCCATGGGGGTAGGGTTGGGTCACAATGGGTGATCAAAATTTTACATAGGAATACATAGGAAACCAGAAGTCTCTGATGAGACTGTAGCTCTACTGGTCTGTACTTATAACAAAAGAAAAGTAGCACTTGGATTTGAACCTTTGCAACATGCAGCAAACATTAAGAATTATGTATCTTAGTGTAGTCTACTTGTGTGCCAAGTTTTATTGAAATCAAACAAAAACTGTAGGAGGAGTAGCATTTTGAAAGTATTTCACAGAAATTTCTATTTTGAGTAACCATGGCAACACCATTCACTGAAACCAAAAACCGATATACATTATTATATAACGTAGTGTAGTGGAATTGTGTGCCAATTAGATTGAAATCAGACCAAAACTGTAGCAGGAGGAATTTTTAAAGGAATTTTACAGAAATTTCTATTTTTAGTAACCATGGCAACACCATTCATTGAAATCAAAAACCGATGCACTAAATTATGTATCTTATTGTAGTCTACTTGTGTGCCAATTTATACTGAAATCAGACCAAAACTGTAGGAGAAGTAGCGTTTTAAAGGAATTTTACAGAAATTTCTATTTTTAGTAACCATGGCAACACCATTCATCAAAATCAAAAACCGATGCACTAATTTATGTATCTTAGTGTTGTCTACTTGTGTGCCAAGTTATATTGAAATCAGACCAAAACTGTAGGAGGAGTAGCGTTTTGAAAAATTGTTTACAGACAGACGGACGGACGCCGGACACCTTACTATCGCATAAGCTCTTCTGGTCTCTGATCAGTAGAGCTAAAAATCTTTAAAAATTTTCTTAAGAACAGCAGAGTCATGATTGGTCATATTTATTTGGAAGCATCCCGCCACAATGGGGCGATCAAAGTCTATCATAGGAATACATAGGAATAATCTTTAAAATTCTTCTCAAGAACAGCAAAACCATGATTGGTCATAATATAAAAGCATCTTCAAGTAATGTAGATTCAAATTTGTTCAAATGGTGATCCCTAAGGAGAATAGAGGGGTCATAACAGGGGATCATAGTTATACAAAGGAATTTAAAGGATATATCAATAAATATTCTTTTCTTAAGAACAGCAAAGCCATTTTGTGTCATATGAATTCAAAAGCATCCGTAGGAAGTGTAGATAAAAGTTCAAATCATCCTCCCCGAACCACTTTTATATTTAAATTTTTCAAGACTGAGCTGATTTGTCCTTTTCCCTGGCCAAAGTGCTCAGGTGGCCTCTTGTCATGATTATTTTTACATTTTCATATCCCCAGACTTCACACGAATAAAGTAAAACCGGGTTGCTAACATTATCAAACAAATCTACCTGAGAATTATTTGATAAATTAAAATAGCGAATTTTACATAAAACTCCATACATTGCTTTTGAAGCTTGTTCTGTTAAATGTTTCTTTGCATTATTAAACATTCCACTTTTTGACAGTAATAAACCCAAGTAACAAAGTTAACCAATATAAAAAAAATTACATTTTGTCATTGGACCTTTAATAGAAAAAATAAGAACTTTTGTTTTGGCTATGTTAACACGAAGTCTCCATAGATCACAGTATTCAGCAAACACATGAAGAGACTTTTGTAAATCAGAAGCAGATTCAGACATTAGGACCGTATCATCACCATAAGACAGTATAATAGTTTCAACATAACAAACATGCCATCTTGCATTTGTTGACTAGGATATGTAAAACCAATTATTTGATTTCTGGTTAAATAAATTAAGTCATTAATGAACAATGAAAATAAAAAGTAGGCTTGAGTATCGCGGGTAATGTAGCGATTCAATATGTATCATGATACTATGACACAATACAACAGTTACTGTGTATCACGATATAATTGAATATACAATTTAAAGCAGAAAATTGTTTCTTTTGTTCTGTATAATGACATAATAAAAGTATAACAGTATAACTTCATGTGTATAATAGCAATTAATGGTATATTTTGGAAAAGAAGACTTTGATTACTTGATCACTTAATACAGAAATTCCACTAAGCTCGTTTCGGACGCCATTTTGTTTTGATTTTTTAAACTTTTATTGTAAAGTAAAAAAAAAAACCACTTCCGGTATCACGATTCCGGAATGACGATATAATACGTGTGTCATTGAAACATACGTTTAATATGATCGATATATCGCTGTATCGTTACAATTCTAATGAAAAGGGTGATAAATTTTCCTCTTGTCTAACACCGACATTGCACATATAAAAGTCTGATAAGTGTTGACCTATTTGTACTTTCGATTTAATACCCTTATACATGTTTCTTATAAATTTGAAACATTTTCCGTCTATACTACTATGTAAAATTTAGGTCCATAGACCATGTCTCCAGACCGTATCGAAAGCTTGGTTGAAATCTATAAAGGCTTCTTTTTACTATTCAGGGCATATTTGCTCAGTAAAGGTCTAAATTTGACGCTCTCCACCAGTATATAGTGACCTCTCTATGTGAGAAAAAAATTCTCAAATTGGATGTAAAATGACACACAATCAATCAGTGGCGCAGTGGTTAGAGCGTCTGCTCTAG